GGGGGGGGGTACACAAATCAGTTACTTACAGGACAGTGTTAGCACAAACGTTTCAAATGTTGAGCGTCTCAGCAAGTACTTAACATGGATATCCACAGCGCTGGTTAACTGTGGCTTCACCAAGGTAGCAGGCTCAAGGACAGGGGTATGTATCAATTACTTTTTCATTTGAAATGTAGAGGAGTGACTTTCATGTAACTGATTTTAGCAGTATTATCAGCGACATTTATTTACTAGTTCCTAGGGTGTCATGATTTTCCAGGTACATAAATCCCACCGTAATTTACAGGGTCTACATCACTTTTTGCTTGGAAAACAAAGAACCATATGGACACTAGGAATAATAAGATGCTCCCCTTTGAGACTCAGAGGCTACAGTTCAAACATAAGTAGGAATTTGAGTTTCATCTCTGTAAAGGAACCACATCGATCTGTCTTATTACTGCATTTTAACCTAGCAACTCATGGGATAGCGTCACAATTAATTGTGTGATAAAGGGAATGAGGTGGTGCTGTGGGCATTTATTTCAGACATCAGAAATCTAGGGAAGCACACAACAGCAGCAGCAACAAAAAGGTCAGCATAATGACTCACCTGTAGGTTTTGATAATCCTGTCAGCATGGGACTCCAGTTGCAGTGAATTCAACCATTTGCTCACATATAGCTGAATCTGGGGCTCAGAGACTCCCCATAATCTGGCATACATGATCATTATTTCCCGACCAGTCAAGTATTCCAGCAAGGCATCCGATTGAGGGCAATAACCAACTCTTGACTTCACCTGATTATAAGAATTGCCTCAATAAGGACCCAGTTCATCTGTCCCACTGAGCATTTTGAATGAGATAGAAGACTTTCAGTTCTCCAGGCCATGCTTCTAAGAATCCTACCAAGAATTTTCTAAAGACTACAAAATTATGGCCAGTGGCTCTATTGTCATAAATTGAAATAACGGGTTCCCCAATTCAGTTTTAATAATCTTGGGGATGAAGAAGCTAGAAATAAAATCCTACAGCCCGCTGAATTTGGAGGAGTATTAGCAGAATATGAGATTCTGCCCTCATTAAAGAGGAATTCCGTGGGGCATGGCCACAATGGGCGTTCTTGCCCTGCAGAAGTTGCAGTCATGTGCAGAACTTGTTTCACAGTAAGGCTGAACCAGAAGCAGAGCCTTTCCCCACTCCCACACACAAGAGAATTCGATGAGTGTTGCTTTATTGATAACCAAGGCTTTTGTGGATTTGTCTTCAGATGCACATAGACTAAATATCCAGAGAAAAGGTATGAATATTAGTTTATTAAAATTAAAAATTAATTAATATTTAAAATAAAGTTATTTTAAATAACTAAAATCCATACCTCCTCTGGGATTTTATTAATTAATTTACAGTGATCCTAGACTATTTATGCCCCTAGACCCTTTGCAGAAATAAACTAAGCCTCTTCGTTATTCTATGTATGAAATTATTCTATCGTAATTTTTGAAAGTAAATGAGCTACATGCAAAGATAACGAACAAGGAAAAAAAATACCATGAATGCCATTAACAGAAACAATTCTTACCAGAAACATTTGTAATAAGTTCAGGTATTGGGATTATTAGATCAGATAAAAAAAAAAAGGTAGTACTTATTATGTTTAAATAAATTTTAAAAACTTAAAATTATCTTGGTGAAAGAGGAAAGTATAAAGTCATGTAGACCTTTTAGAAATGAACCATATAGCTAAACATATAGAAACTAAAAAAAGAGTCATGTTAAGTCTCTGTGAATGGGTTCAACAACAACTTAGTCACAATGGAAGAAATTAACATGCTGAAGATAGGTCCTAGAATGCAGCACAAAAATGAAAAGTGGGGAACTATAAAGCAACACCGAGAGACAAGGGTGCTGAAATGGAAATATCACATCTGATCATCAGAACTGCAGGTGGACAGAAAGACGAGAAGAGAAACGTCTGAAAAACTAATACGTGAAAATAACCCAGAGCTAATTTAAGATATTAAGTAATAAATTTAAGAATGCCAATAACTTCCAAGAGAATAAAAATGTAAAGATCCAAACCTAAGTACTTCATATTGAAGCTTATGTAAAACAAAGAGAAAAATTAGAAAGCAGCCGTAGAGAAAAAAGGGTCACGTATAAAGAATGTCATACTGACAGCTGATTTCTCAAAAGTAGTGATGGAAGCTAGATGATAGTGAAACAACAGGTTAATTTGCTAATTAAAAATAACTGCAAACCTCAAATTCTATATGCAGTGAAAATATCTTTTGCAGAGAGGGTGAATTAAAGGCATTTACAGAAAGAAAGTGAAAACAAATAATGAAAGGTTTTCCCCTGAGATTGAGATGGAGAAAACGTCTGCAATTGCCATTGCTATTCAATGAGGAGTAGCCTTTGCAGTAAATGAGGATGAAAAAAACAGGATTGGGAAGGAAAACAAACCCTTACTGTCTGCAGTTGGTCATGATTGTGTTAAGTAAAGATTCTAATATAATTTATAAATAAATATTAGAATTAAGAGAATTTAGCAATTTTGTTGAATACAAGTTCAATATCTAAAAGTCAATTGTACTTCTATAGACCATCCATACGTAATATAAATAAAATCATTTAAGTTAATATTAAAACATAAAGTTATTGAAATAAATTATTCACAGTAAGCTGAATTCTCTTACTAATGTAACATCCATGCACAACTATCAAACTATTATTCTGAGACACTTATTGAGAAACAGTCATAGAAATGACATATTTGCTATAAATATGTTAATCTTCTGGAGTCCCATTCAAAATTTTAGCATGTATATGCAAAGATAAGAATTCCTCAATTTATCTATAATTTTAAAAGTTCAAGAATAACTAAAGTAATATTGAAGAACAAACTTGTCACTATCAAATATGATGACTTTTTATAAGACTATAATTAAGAAAGTGTGGTACTGGCCCAGGGATTAAACAAATAAACCTATGAAAAACAACATAGTACAGAAACTGACCCATATTTATTTTTATTTTTTAATCCTCACGCAAGGAGTGAGGATATATATTTTTTCCAATTGATTTTTAGAGAAAGTGGAAGGGAGGAGGGAGAAGGAGAGAGAAAAAGGAGAGAGAGAAACATCAATGTGAGAGAGACACATCGATTGGTTGCCTCCCACATGCACCCCTACCGGGTTAGGGATCCAACCTGCAACCCAGGTCTGTGCCCCTGACTGGGAATCGAACCTGTGACCCTCCAGTGTGCAGGCCAATGCTCTAACCACTGAGTAACACTGGCCAGGGCCTGACCCATATTTAAGTAACACCTGATAGTTGACAAAGTTGACACTGCAGAGAAGTTGGAGCAAGGACAATCTCTCAACAAAATGTGCTGGATCAACTGGTTATACATTAGAAAAAAATGAATATTGACCCTTACCGAACAGTATGCAGATGAATTATAGATTCAAAGGTGAAAGGTAATGCAATGAAATTATGCATGGGAACAAAGGAAGTTTAATATTTAATTTAAATAAAGGTTGGTGAGGAATTCTTAAACAGGACCCAAAAAACAATGAGCAGAGACAAAAAAGAGACTGCATTAAAATTTTTTAAAAAATATTTCATTAAAAGAAAAATATACAAAGCATTTCCTCAAATAATTACTGGAAGATGGGTAATTCAATAGAAAAATGGGCAAAATATTTAATTATCTAAGTTTTCAATAAATATTTGAGTATTCAACTTAATAGATTATGAAAGAAAAAAATGGAAACTACTAAATCCCAACATAATGTCCAAAATTGAAAGTCTAAAAGGCTGTCAACATCAAATATTGGCAAGGATGTAGAATGATGGAAACTGTCATGCATTGGTGGTAGGAGAGAAAATTTGTACAAATCACTGTGTAAAACCATTTGCAGTATTGACTAAAGTTGAATACTCACATACCTAAGATCCAGTAATTATATATTAAAGTATATATCTAGCATAAATGTGTACATATTTGCACCAAAAGACATATTCATCAATCATCAGGGAAAATTAATAATAACTAAAATTTAGAAACAATATAGATGTCCCTCAGACTTACAGTAGATAAATATAGTTTTAGATTCATACAATTAAATATTATACAGCAATGTAAATAAATAAACTACCACAATAAGTGACAACATGGATGAAGCTTACAAACATAATATTGGAATAAAGAAGCCAAAAAGAAGTATACAGTACAATTATATTCATATACTATTCAAAAATAAGTGAAATTAGCCGGTATGGCTAAGTGGTTAGAGCCTTGGCCTGCAGACTGAAGGGTCCTGGGCTGGATTCTGACCAAGAGCACGTACCTCAGTTGCAGGCTCGATCCCCAGCCCTGGCTGGGGCATGTATGGGAGGCAACCAATCGATATGTCTCTTTCACATCCATGTTTTTTTTTCTCTCTCTCTCCCTTCCACTCTTTTTGAAAAGCAATGGAAAAAATATCCTTAAGTGAGGATTAAAAATAAATAATAAATAAATAAATAAATAAGTGAAACTAATGTGTGATTAGAAAGTCAAGATGGTAGTTTACATTGGAGTTGATTATTAAAAATGAATATTTAAATTAATAATAGACAATAAATGAAAAAAAACTATATAATATTTTCACACGATACAAACAATGCACACAGTAAAAGCCAACACTAAAATGCTAAAAGCTTGTAGTAAACTAGGCATATAAATGAATTTTCTTAAACTGATGAAGGGTAGCTACCAAATATAATATACAGTAGTAGAAATTTAGAAGTATTTCATTCAAAGGCAAAAAAAAAAAAAGGTATCCTTACATCAGTATTCAGCATTGTGCCCATGGTCCCACTTCACACAATAGCACAAGAAATGGGGTTTGGTAATTGAAAAGGAAGAAAAATTGTCATTATTTCTAGATTATAAGCATATCTACATAGGAAAGCCAAGATAATCTGTATAAAAACTGTGAAAGCTAATTAGAAAATTAGTTGACCTAGGTTTCTGGATAATAAAATCAGCATGCAAAATTCAATAGCATTCCTAAATACCAGCAACTTATATTATGCTAAAAAATGACACCATTAAGAGTATAAATAAAATCCATAAGGTACAAAGAAATAAACCTGCTAAACTGTATAAGACTTTAGGGAAAGAATTACAAAACAATATTAAAGAGAGTGACAGCAGTGAAATGGATGGCTAGGAAGCTCCAAGTCCCTTTTCCCTATGGAAACCTCTAAAACAACCAGAAAGTGACTAAAATAACTTTATAGGAGCCCTAGAACACTAAAGTTAAAGTCTACAGCAACCAGCTGAATATTCAATCAATTGGAGCCCTAGAACACTAAAGTTAAAGTCTACAGCAACCAGCTGAATATTCAATCAATTTGGTTGAACTTCCAAATGTTAGGAACTTTCGTCGCATGTTTCCTCACCCTTGCCAAACCCCTCCCTGTTTCAGAACAGTGCTGCTCTGGAGGAGGCAGCTGCCCATTTTCCTATTGCGTCCTTCAAACCAGAAGAAGCAGAGCTGACCTTATTTTCAATGATCTAACCTGCCTTGGGACTGCTTAAAGGACAGGTGTTTGTTTTGCCCAGGCTAAAAACCACAGGGTACCTCTCATGAAAGCTGCAGGGGGACTACAGACCCGCAGACTCGTGGGCTAAGATATTACAGGTGAAGACACACACTTGAACATCTAAGTTTCCGAGGACAAGCAGAGTGACACTCTAATAAATTAAGACATTCCAAAGAAGCCATGTATATGGAAGAATATAAAA